CGCGGGGCAGGCGGCGGAGACACGGCGGAGGAGAAAGAACATGGCGGACGCGGCCGGGCCCGGGACCGGCCCTGGGGTAGCGGGCGGAGATGGAGACGATTCACTATACCCGATTGCAGTTTTAATTGACGAACTCCGCAATGAGGATGTGCAGGTACTGGAATCGGGCTGGAGAGCGGAGGCGGGGCGGGCCCGAGCGTGTGGTAGAGAAGGGGGAAGGCCGGCGCCCAAGTAGGGGAGGCTCGGGGATTGAAAGAGCTACATTGAAAGAGTAGAAACTTGAAGAAGAGGGTGGGAAAGACCGGTGAGGGACTCGACCCGACCCTCCCTTAGACCTCTTCAGTACCCCTCCTCCGGGCCCCCTGCAGCATCGGCCGAGCGTCCCACCCGGGCGGTTGTGGGAGAACCAGCTTCCCGCCTAGGCGCCCCTTTCTGGTTGTGCGGCGGGAACGCCGCGTCCAGAGCTGGGCGGGCAGCCCTTGTTGAGCGGGCTGCGAGGTGGCTGGAGCAGGTTACAAGGATGCTAAGGGGCCCTTTTATGTGCCGGTGAATGAACGCCACCCTCTTGCCTTGGAGACTGGCCAGGCTTGTTGGGTGGAAAGAGAGGGATAGCTAATTAACCTAGAGGGAGCCGGTGTATCAGCTCTGATGGAACTCTTCTTTGAAAAGGCAGGAGTTGCAGTCAACCGTTTTACCAGCTTCACCACTGCCAAAGTTCTCTTTTTAAGATTGTCTCACTTCCTGGCTATTGTATTTTTCTTTCATTCATTTCTCTAATGGGCCCTTCAGAATGTTTCTACTAAGAAATCTTCCTTTGACTAACGAAGCCGTGTTACACTGCTCCTGAAGATCCTCATAGAATAAGCTCTAAATTAAAGGTTTTCCTCATTTTTATCATGTCATTATCTCACCTGTTTGCAGCTTTTGTCTTTGGTCTAAATCACAACTGTTTTCTTCGTTCTTTCCACTTCCTTTTTTAAAGCTCCGTCTCAACAGTATTAAGAAGTTATCAACAATTGCTCTAGCACTTGGAGTAGAAAGGACAAGAACTGAACTGCTGCCATTCCTTACAGGTATGTGAATCTTGTTTAAAGAAAGGTATGGGCATTGCTGTTTTCCAGTGGTTTTTAAAACTTTGTTTTTTAGTTAATACTGTTACCCACAGTATTAAGTACTATACTGAGTGTGATGCTTTCTGTGCAAAAGGAACAGGACAGAGCATATTGTAATGTGGTCAGACGTATTCAAGCATTAACTATTTAGCTAATAGGAAAGTAATTGATAATGGGATTATGAATTTCTAATTCATTGTGTAAAACAGATCCAGGAAGGAAGACTTTTGATTGAGAAGGGAGAAAATGCTGTTAGGATAGTGACAGGACCATCTAGTTACATATTGAGTCTATTCCTAGTTTTGTGTGAGTGTCTAGCTCTGAGCCGGCTATTCTTGTTGATGAGTACTGGGTTGTTGTCATTTTCAGATACAATTTATGATGAAGATGAAGTACTTTTAGCTCTTGCTGAGCAGCTGGGAAGTTTCACCGGCCTGGTGGGAGGTCCTGACTTTGCCCACTGTTTGCTGGTGAGTATATTCTGCCTACCTTCCTTCATTTATACTTTTGCAGTATAAATGACACATTGTTTTGTGATAGACATATTGTTTCGTGATAGGCACACTGCAGTATTTATTTATTTATTTATTATTGGGGAATCGGGCAAGGGGAACAGACAAATTGCTGTCCTTTTGTTCTTCTGTCTAGTTGTGGAGAACGTCGCTTCACTGGCCCATGTTGGTATTACCATTGCGCTCTGCCCGGGTGAGGCAGTCGCTGGACGGCCGCTCACGCTGGCTGCCAGCTACTCACGGTAGCTTTACGGCAGCCCACTGCAGCCTGTGCTGTCACCAGCGACTCACGGTAGCCCAGCTCCAGGTCGAGCTGTTGTTCACCATCTTAGCTGTAGAGGGCGCAGTGTCACTGGCCCTCATGTGGGATCTGAACCGGGGCCCTGCTGCTCAGAGCCGGCGTCCCAAGCCATCTCTTAACCAATGCGCCACTTGGCCGGCCCTGCAGTATTTTTTAATGCAGATGTTTTTATAGAGTCCCAGTTAGCTATGGAGAAAACAAATAATGTAGGCACTTTGGACTTAACCCTTTCTTATTTTTTCTGACTACAAATATAAGACCTTCTTTTCTTGTCTGCCGCTGTAGACTTATTTGTTAGTTTAGAGGTTGGGAGAAAAACGGATTTGATTGTTTTTGTTTATGGTTTTTTCCCCCTGAAACTGGAAATCTTAATTCTTATCTAGTAATGTCATGACTTTGGAAACATTTGTTAGCTTTTTGTCTTTGATTGTAAGTGTAACTTTTACTTCTGACTTATTTTGTGAATTTGATGAGTTCAGTTCAATATAATTGACAATTATTGAGAGCCTATTGTATCAAGCCCTGAAGTTACAATGTTTATTATATTAAAGAAGACCAATGTGAATGGAATGAGTTATCCGTCCTTATGTGTCAACAAATAATTACTATACAGTGTTAGATCGAAAAATACAAGTCCATACAAGGTACTCAAGTAATAGAGAGGAGAAAGAGATTAATCCAGGATGATCAGAGAAAACCTCTTGGGAGATGACATCTGAACTAGGCTTTGAAGGATGACTAGGAATTCCACAGTTGGACAGATAAGGATGTATGCTTAAAGACTTAAATACTGTCTATATGATGCTGACTCGATTTCTGTCTCTACTCCAACCTTTCCATGGAACTCCAGATATAGAAAGATAGATACAAATATCTGTTTGTCTCTCTCTATATCTGCTTTTTATTTTTCTACATAGATGTCAAACAGGCATTTCAAATTTAACATGCATAAAATAGAACTCAGTTTTCTCCCCAAAATATGCCTCTCATGTAGTTGTCCCATCTTGATAAATGGCATCACCATCTACCCAGTTACACAAGCCAAAACCTAGAAGACATTCTTGAATCTTCTTTCCCTCATTTTCCACATCTAATCCATTAGTAATATGTATAAATTCTCTCTAGATTTTAAATCAGCCCACTAGTACTTATCTCTTTCCTCTAGATTAGTGCAGTAACTTTCTAACTAGTTACCTGCCACTCTTGCCTCCTACCCCACCCCTACAGTTCACTCTTCACCCTGCAGATAGATTACTTCCTGCCCTTAAAAAAATCCAAATTCCTACCTTAGCTTGTCCCTTAGCTTATAAAACCTGTCTCTGTGAGTTTATCTCATACTATGCTCCCTTTTGATAACCTCATTCCATTCACAGTGGTCTTCTTTCTGTTCTTTAAATCAACCAAGCTTATTATTGCCTTAAGACTGTTGACCTAGGTATTCCCTCTAATAAAATGTTCTTTTGAGCTTTCTGGACTGGCTCCCTGTCATTCAAATATCAACTTCAATGTGTCTTCTCAGAGAAGACCACCCAACCTGAAATTACCTCCTTCACCCCTTATTGTATCAATCTATTCTATTTCTTTGCAGGGTTCTCATCACCATCTAATTGTTTTCTTTTTCTTTTTTCTTTTTTTAAGATTTTTATTGGGGAATTGGGGAAGGGGAATGTTGTGTTTTTCCAGGACCCATCAGCTCCAAGTCAAGTTGTTGTCTTTCAGTCTTAGTTGTGGAGGGTGCAGCTTAGCTCCAAGTCCAGTCGCCGCTTTCAATCTAGTTGTGGGGCAGCGGTGGGGGTGCAGATCACCATCCCATGCGGGAGTTGAACAAGCAACCTTGTTGTTAAGAGCACATGCTCTCACCAGCTGAGCCATCCTGCCATCCACTGGCAGCTAAGCGGCAGCTCAGCTTGGGTACAGCTCACTGGCCCATGTGGGAATTGAACCGGCAACCCTGTTGCTCAGAGTTTGCTTTCTTAACCAATTGCGTCGACCAGCCGGCCGGCCCCCTAATTGTTTTCTTGATTAGCTGTCTTCCTTCATTAGAGTATAAATTCCACTAGAGCAAGGAACCTGTCTGCCTGTTTCTTCTCTATCCTCAGGGCTAGAATATAACAATAATTCTTCATGAAAGACGTGGCGTTTCAGAGCTTGGATAAAGGTTGTGTTGCTGCGCTGGTGTAGGTAGGAGTGGTGGTCGGGACAGTAGGAAAAGAACATGGAGAAATAGGCAGAGTTCAAATTAGGAGACAACTCGTATGCAATTCTCAGGAGCTTGGCCTTATCCTGTAGTGCATGAGAGAACGTCAGAAGGCAGGGCAGATCATGTAAGAAAGTATCTTTTCAAAGGGCTTCTGAAATACCTCTTATGAAAGCTGAGTACTTTCTACCTCTGTGTAAAACGATTTTCGAAATAGATTGTTAAGTAGACACGCTTCTTTCCTTTGACTCATTATAATTCTGTTTTATTCTCTTGGTCAGTTCTACATGTGGATTTTGTCTTTAGCATTTGTAGCTCATGGCATATGCTGAATCTACCTGACCAAATATAAACCCAGAAAGGATAAGGATGAAAGAACCAGCCCGCTTTCACTTTTCATTGGTCAGTGTCAGTTACTGGTCCTAGTCCAGAACAACCCCTTTGGTCTCTTGTGTTCCTAAAGCTGCAAGCAAGGAGTCCTACCATCTCTGTACTCTTCACTTAATTGTTCTGCTAGAAACTGCTGCTATATGTCTGGCTTATGGAAAGATTCTGGATGTATTCTGAAAACAGTGATTTTGCACTCAACCTTTGATAGGCTGGGTAAGTTGATGGTGTAGAGCTAGTGGACAAGGGCTGCTTGCACCTCCAGGAGTGGTAGAATAATACTCCAAAGGCTGTGGACTGAGTGGCCTGACAAGATGTCATGTAATTGTGGTGCCCAGTGTTGCTCCTGTTTTTGCATTTACCCTAAGGAAATATACATGCTCCTGTCTAGATTTGGCTGCATAGCTTTTAAACCTAGTGATTCAGCTCACAGTAATATTAATGTTATGTCAAGTCTCCTTCACTGTGTCATTTGTAGACACCATCTGGGAATTGCCATCTGGGACAAGAGACCTTGGCTGTCCTACAGAAGTCGTGTCTTCAGGTTGGACACGCCATATGTTATCGCTGTGTGAACTGAAAGTAACCATTTGGTGTGATGTAGCTAACATTCTGGTTACATGTACTACCTCCCTTCAGTCACTTTAAAAGGTGAGAATCTGTGTCTAACCTGATTCAGTAAGTTTTCTTCTCTGGTTTTTGGCCTATTCAGCCTCCTTTGGAAAGTCTGGCAACCGTGGAAGAGACTGTGGTTCGAGACAAGGCTGTGGAATCCCTGAGGCAGATCTCCCAGGAACATACTCCTGTTGCCCTCGAAGCTCATTTTGTACCTCTGGTGAAACGCCTAGCGAGTGGAGATTGGTTCACTTCTCGCACATCTGCGTGTGGTTTGTTCAGCGTTTGCTATCCCAGGGCCTCAAATGCTGTCAAAGCAGAAATTAGACAGTAAGATATCATATTTTAAAAAATTATGTGAGATTATTGGGAACTCATAGCTGACAATTTACACATTATCCTGTTAGCAGTGAGTGGCTGATACCAGGATAGTAGGATTGATGACATCACTTTTTATTGTGCAGTTGAATACACCAGTGGTTTTATCTTTGCTACTTCTATGAGTTAAAGCCTAATCACTGATGTATGTAAGAGAAAACCTCTAAAACGTGTGTGTGTGTGTGTGTGTGTGTGTGTGTTGGGGGTAATCAGTGGTGTTTGACAGAAAGTGCCCTCATTATTTTATTTGCTCCAGGTACTTCCGTTCCTTGTGCTCAGATGATACACCAATGGTACGCCGTGCTGCTGCTTCCAAATTGGGTGAATTTGCAAAAGTGTTAGAATTAGACAGTGTGAAAAGCGAAATTGTTCCATTGTTCACTAATCTAGCTTCAGATGAACAGGTAAGTTAACTCTTAGTATTTAAGGTACACAGATATGCTCCTTTCTAATATTTTAAAATTTTCTTTGGGGAGTTGGGTACTCAAGTTAGGATTCTTTTTGCAAAATTAATACCTAATTCTGGCTTGGATAAAGTTTAATATGACCCACCTCAGTGTCTTTGTATTTCTTTCTTAATCAGACCATGATTTTCTCTTATATTAGCAGCTGTTAAGGGGAAGTCAGGAAATGGGAGCCATAATTAGAAACGAAGATCAAAACTGCATGAAGGGTATGCTGGTGTGCTTTGCCCATGGTATGCTGGATTGTCATAAGGGAGGGTAGTGTTTCCTGGAAGTTTCGACTTGCAGATAACAAGCATAGCATGTGTTAGGAAAACTATTTGACCCTTTGAGTCCTCTGTATAAGAGTATAGGATGACTACGAAGAATAGCAATTTTAAATCCAAGGATCTAGAGCTCTTTGGTATAGAAATAACAATAATAATAACAATAACAGGCACCTAAATAAAGTACTTAATCTATCTCCGCTTGTCTAAAGTGGTTTTACATATATGAAGTAATTCAGTTCTCACAACAGCTCCATGAGGTAGCTACCCCATTTTACATTTTAGGAAACAGGCACAAAAATTGAAGTCACTTGCTCAAGGTCGCATAGCTAGCAGTGGTGGAGCTGGGATAGGATTCGAGGCAGTTTGGCTCCAGAGTTCACAGCCTTCACGGCTGCATATACTGCCTCTCTGTACAGTGCTTCAGAGGGTCAGCCCTCAGCATTCTGGACTCCAGAAGAGTCCTTTTGGGTTTCTAATTTGCCTAGTGTCTGCCCTAGAATCACTTCATGTGAACAGGACCAAGAGCACCAGGCACATACTGATAGTCTCATTTTTAACTTCTAAATCTAAAGATCTTAAACCTTCCTTTCAAAATAAAAATTTAAATTTCTTAAAATAGCATATAGAAAACAGCACAAAATAGACGACTTAATGAATTATTATAAGGTAATGTCATCTTGTAACTGTCATCTATGGAAGGAGACAGAAATTTGATAGCTGCTACCGCAGAAGCCCTCCACGGACTCCCTCCCAAACACAGTGTCCTCTCCATTCACCACTCCTCACTCCCTACCCACTTAAGACTAACACTTTATCTTGATTTTGTTTTGTTTTGTTTTGTTTCAGGTGTACAAAGCAGTGCAATGGTTATACTTTTTACCCCTCATAAAGTGACACCCCGCAATCCACCACCTCACTGCTCCCCATATTATACACATCTGTTACAATTCCATTGGCTCACTCCCCACACTATACTCCACATCCCAACACTATATATATATATATATATATATATATATATATATATATATATATATGTATATTAAATTATAGTTGACATAAACAATATTCAACGTCAGCTTCAGGTGTACAGTGCAGTGGTCAAACCTCTACACTGTCCATGAAGTGGTCTCCCTAATAAGACGTGTCCATCTGACACCCTATAAAATATTTACATTATTAATTACATTCCCCAAATTGTCTTTCATATCCCTGTGGTAATATTGTAGTTACCTATTTTGCTGTCTAATCCCTTTTCTCCCTCATCCCTACCCCGCTCCAAGCCAGTAACCATCAGTTTTTCCTCTATATCTCTAAGACTATTTCTATTTGTTTTGCTCTTTTATTCAGTTCTTTAGATTCCACATATATGTGAAATCATATGGTATTTGCCTTTTTCCGACTGACTTACTTCACTTAACGTAATGTTTTCTAGGTATGATGATGACCTTTTTTTTTTTTTTTTGAAGATTTTTATTGGGGAATGGGGGGAGGGGACCAGCCAAGTTGTTGTTCTTCAGTCTTCGTTGTGGAGGGCACCAGTCGCCATCTGGCTGCCCGTTGGCAGCTCGTGGCCTCTTAAGTCAAGGTGCTGTGTTCAGTCTTAGTTGCATGTGGGCTTAGCCACCATTCCATGTGGGAGTCGATCCAGCAGTCCTGTTGTTAAGAGCGCACGCTCTATCCACTGAGCCATCCAGGCGGCAGCTCAGCTCAAGGTGCCAAGTTCAGTTTTAGTTGTGCCCACCATCAAACAGGCAATCTTGCTCTTATACCAGCTGAGCCATTTGGCCACCTGTTGGCAGCTCAGGGACAGCTCAGAGACAGCTTAGCTAGGGTGCAGCATCACTGGCCCATGTGGGAATAGAACTGGTGGCTCTGTTGCTCAGAGCTTGTGCTCTTAAGCCAACTCTTAACCAGCTGAGCCATTTGGCTGTCCTGGTATGTTGACTTTTATGGTAACCATCTCCTCACTTCTCTTGGCACTTTTATTACTCAAATGTTATAGTTTAAAACCGCACTTGTCCAACAGAACTGTAGGCTACCTATTATTTTTAAGCTTTCTAGTTGTCACATTTTAAAAAGAAAAAAACAGGTGAAAATAATTGTAATAATATATTTTATTTAACCCAGTATACCCCAAATAATTACCATTTGAACATGTGGCACTACCACTTTTCCAGTACTCAAGCCACATGTGGTTACCACATTGGACAGCATAGGTTTAGAATCTTCGTTTGGGATTTTGTTGATTACATTTCCTATAGTATAATTCAACATTTTCTTTTGTCCTCTCTATTTCCTGCAAAATGATGGTTGAATCTAGAGTGGGGCTTTTGCAAACTTTTTTTGTAAAGGACCAAATAGTAAATACATTTGGCTTTGTGGGCCAGACAGTCTCTGTTGTAAGAACTGAGCTCTGCTGTTGTAGCACAAAAGCATCATAATTGTAAACTAATGGGCTTGGCGGTGTTCCAGTGAAAACTTTATTTACAAAAACTAGCTGTGTCCTGGATTTGGCCAGTTTTTCTCCCACCCCTGATCTAGAGGCTCATTGAGATTTAGGTTGATATTTTGGGGATGATAAGATCACTTCATAGTGAGGTGTACTTTTCATCCATCAAGAGGCATGTAATGTCTAGTATTAGCAATTGATGCTCAAAAAAATATTAAGTGCTTAGTTGTAAAATACGTGTATGTGTATTCCTTTCGACCACTGATAGAATTGCTGCTCCTGGCTTATTCATTCATTGAAAAAAATATTTATAGTGTACCTATTACATAGCAGTCACTGTTCTAGTGCTGGGATACAGTGATAAGGCATACAAGGACCCTGCTGGAATGGAGTTTACATTTTAACAAAGGAAAACAGATAAATAAGCAGAATATCAGGGATAAATGCTATGATGAAAATAGAGTAGGATAACATAATAGGGAGTGATTTATTATAGGGCATTTCTCTAGATTGGCTAGTCAGAGAAGGACTGTGAAGAGGTGATGTAAACTGAGACAAAGAAAAACGCCAGCCATGCCCTTTCCTAAAGTGTCAGAGCTCTAGGAAAAGAGAATTCCAGGAAGAGAGGACATCTAGTGTAAAGACCCTATGGTTAGAACATAGTGAGTGAAAGGGACTCTTGGTAAGAGATGAGGTTGAAGAAGAAAAACAGGCCCGGTCATGGAGGGCCTTTAAGCCAGGATACAGAGTTTAGATTTTCTTTTTTAGGTGCAATGACAATACACCTAGAATTTAAGCAGGGGTGGGACTTGATGTAGCTTCCATGTTTAAAAGATCATTCTGGCTTCTGGGTGGAAACTAAATTGTAAAGTGAGGGGCGAGAATAGAAACAGGAAGACCAGTTAGGAGACTTGTGAATAATCCAGGTAAGACACGGTGAACAAGGAGGTATAGTGACGATTAAGAGAATCAGGAGATAGGTTTGGAGGTAGAGTTAGTGAACTATGATTAGATTGGATAAGGGGAGAGACATCAAGAAGGTCTTGATTTTTGTCTTGAGCAATTGGGTGGATGGTGGAGTCATTGTTGAGACGGAGAAGATTCTGGGAGGAGGAGCAGGTATAGGGGAGAAAATCAGGAGTACTGGAAGAGAAGTAACTGATTAACAAGTATTTATTGGTATATATTTCCATAGGTGAGAGTAGTCCCTTGATTTAGCATTGTTTTTGAAATCTAAAAATATCTGTAGCTACTACCAAGAACATAGTTCTCCCTTTTTTAGATGGTTCATTTGGATAAAGGAGTGAGTGTCTTGGGCATTTAGTAGTAAGTTATTGTTGATTTTATACAATTTTTGAAATTTGTAATATTTTAGAAAGTTGCGAGTCACTATTATCTCTTGTGTATATGTGCATATATACATAGACATACATGTATGTTATATATATATAAAATATCCTAATTATATATTTCTATATCGATATGCATATACTATTAAAACTTGATCCTGTTCCCCTTGGTGCTCATCTGTTTACATATTTTCAGTTTCTCTTTACATATTTGTGATTCTCAACTCTAGTCTCAATTCCTAATTTCTCATTGATTTGTCTAATTGTATATTTCCACTTGCTCAAAGGATATATAAGTATCGCATTGACACTTCGCAGTTTACATTTCAAAAGCTGAGTTCATTAATCCCATATCTTTCTAATTTCTTTGGTCTAATTTTCTAGGCTTCACTACATCAAAGTTATTCTGTTCTTGATCCTCAGCATTTAAATCCAACATTTTTTTTATTAGTTTTAATTTGCTTTTCTTTCCAAGTCATCATCTCATTCCTAAACTCCTATTATTCCCCTTTCAAACTGAGTACAGATTTCTCCTGCTATCTGAAAGTAGAGCGTTCCTATGAAACCTTTCATAAGCTGAAATGGTGTAAAGTGCAGAAGCAATTACCTTAGGGCACAGCTTGCTAACAGATACATAAACTGAGATAAAGCACGATGCTCACAGACACAGTTCAAAGCTTTTGCGGCTTGTTGCTGAGATACTGAGTGTAGTTCCTGGGAAGGAGTTTGGTAGGGCCACTCTTGCTGTTCGGGAGACGCACTGCCTCCATAATGACTCAAACAATGGCTGAATGCTATTTTTGCTTTTCACCTTTTTTTTTGTAAAAGTGAAAATCTTCAGATTTCTTTTGGGTAGCGAAAACAGGTACTGATAATGTAGGCCTTTTGTAAAAGTGAAGGTGGTATAAAGTGAACTGTCGAAAAGCGGGGTGGGGGTGGTACCTTTATTTTGAAAACTAAAAGTGATTCCCTTATCCTTAGTCTCTTTTCTATGTTCTGAACTGTTAATAAGCGACTTGTACAAACATAGGTTTCATTTTTATCCCTCCACTTAATATAATGAGGTTTTGAAGACATCATTAAAATGTTCTCGTTTTTTCACTTATCTTTACATTTTTATTTCATTTTCCTTAATGAAAAGTCTGTACTCCAGCCAACGTAATTATTTTGCTGCTCACTCATAGAACAAGTGGCCTCTATCTTTATGGCTTTGACATGCCATTGCAGGCCAAGGGGGCAGCTATTTCAAAACATAAAGACATGAAGCTGCATTTTTCTTTCTTTCTTTTTTTAAACTGATACCTATAGCACTGCCCCACACCATGCAGTCTGGCCGTCAGTAAATTGTCTAACACAAAGAATGTTGTGCCTTTAGGATTCAGTACGCCTCCTAGCTGTGGAAGCTTGTGTCAGTATTGCCCAGTTATTGTCTCAGGATGACCTTGAGGTTTTGGTGATGCCTACACTTCGACAAGCAGTGGAAGATAAATCTTGGCGAGTTCGCTATATGGTAGCTGACAAATTTTCAGAGGTAAAAAGATTGCACTGACCTTTTTTAAGTAATAAAGAAAGAAAGAAAAAAAAAACCCAAACCCACAAACTTGCTGTTGTACCAAAAGTTTCAGAATTAATTCTGGATCTGAAGTATTTGTGAAAAAAATATGTACCTGAAGATTATATTATTTTGTATTGTTCATAGTAATATTTTGTTAGTATACATTAAAACTATACAAATTCTTTTATAGCTCCAGAAAGCTGTGGGCCCTAAGATCACCCTAAATGACCTCATCCCCGCCTTTCAGAACCTACTCAAAGACTGTGAAGCTGAAGTCCGAGCAGCTGCTGCCCACAAAGTAAAAGGTTAAGGCATTCAATTTATGTTGCAGCATGTGTCGTTTATTTTGGTGCATTGCTTTATGTCAGTGAATTTTGTATGTTTGTTCTAGAACATGTTTTCAAGTTAATAGAAATGATTTCAATGTGTGGAAATGTTACAATATCATAGAAATCTATAATGGAAGTAGATTTATGGCCAGACAGCCATTTTATCTTGTTTCTGTAAAAAAAAATAAAAAAAGCCTTTTCAGGTTGTGTGTGATACAATTGGTGTGATACACTATGGCATATAGATTGACAAAAAAGGGCATTTAGAATAAGAGCCATTTTTCCTCCTTTGAGCTTATTTGCTTAAGCATATGATTTGATTTAACTTAAACTGTTGATAAACCTGGTTAAATTTTTTCATTTGGCTCCTTATGAATGGCTCTATGTAAGCATTGTTATTTTCTATTTTCTATTTTTTTCATCTATTTTAGAACTTTGTGAGAACTTGCCCATTGAAGGTAGAGAGACCGTTATTATGAATCAAATTCTGCCCTATATAAAGGTAAACTTAACTTTATTTTTTGTTTTACTTTCCCCTTTATGGAGGCAAACCTTAGCTCAGTTATTTTTTTTGTTTGTTTTACTTTAAAGCTCTTTGAGTTTAAAGGTGGACAAGGGATGAATGGGACAGATATGTTAATGTGTGACACCGTTATTTATTGCTTATTAGTGCGTTGTAATTGTAAAATGCTCTTTGGTACATAGGTTTATGTTATCTGACAGATGGTCTGAGGAACATCATCTAAATCAATATTGAAATAGTGCTGTCTTTTTAAATTCCTTGGGAAATGGTATGGAAGTTTCTGTTATCTTGCAAAAAAGAAAGGCTTTTAATTTTGATTTAATTTTAGGAATTAGTATCTGATACAAATCAACATGTCAAATCGGCTCTAGCTTCTGTAATTATGGGATTGTCTACCATTTTGGGCAAAGAGAATACCGTTGAACATCTTCTGCCTCTTTTTTTAGCTCAGTTAAAGGATGAGGTGAGTCTGGCTATAAATTCTGTTGCTTAATAGTTGGTGATTTGGTTTGGTTTTGGTTTGGGGTTTCACTAAAATAGAACCCAAAACAGGGATGAAGGGATTTTAAAAAAGTAACTTATTTTAAAGCAGTGACAATTTCTGTGTTTGAGTATGAGGTTGCATATTTCCCAAGAAACGGGCATAAGGAGCCATTGATATGGACTTTAAAATGTCTATCCATTCTCTTCCTGATTTCTGCTGATATGCACTGGTTTCCTCTCTTTAAACTTAATATATCTTTGTTCAAAAAGTTTCTTTCATTAAATTTAAATATAACATCAATATTAGACTGATAGCTAATATTTATTGAGTAATACTATATGCCAGGCATGATCATAAATCTTTGCATGTATTATTACATGTAATCCTCAAAACAATCTTTTGAGGCAGGTCTTATCCCCTTTTACAGATGAGGAAGCCAAGGCACAAAGAGATAAAATAACTCACCCAAATTCTCGGCAATGGCAAATCTGGGATTTGAATGCATGTAATTTGACTCCAGAGCCTATGTATGCTCTTTATGATCCTATAGACTTTTCATTGAAACGTCTGGTTAAGATCCGTTACATTTATGTGCTTTGAATTGTGTGCTCATTATTCAGTATTTCTACTAAGACTATACTTTTTTTCACCTGAGTCAGTACTTTCTTAAACTTTATTTAGCCTTTTTTACTTTATGACAACAGTAAAATACTGGGCAGAGAACTTGGTGTTATATGTGTTCTTTTGGGGCTTGTGTACTTGCAGTGTCCTGAAGTTCGCTTGAATATCATCTCTAATTTGGACTGTGTAAATGAAGTGATTGGAATCTGTCAGCTCTCTCAGTCTCTCCTTCCTGCCATCGTGGAGCTGGCTGAAGATGCCAAGTGGAGAGTCCGGCTGGCCATCATTGAGTACATGCCACTGCTGGCGGGCCAGCTGGTGAGTATGAGTGCTCCATGAAGTGAGGGATGGCACATTTACCAGACATCAAGGAGGAGGCCCCAGGAACTTGTATGATTGTGTTCATTTAGACACATCGAAGTGTGGCCTGTCCTAGTGCCTGTAGGATGGCCTTCATTTTCATTAATGCATTAACTCAAACAGAAAGGGATTGTAGAAACACATTGCACCTCACCACCACCTAAAAGCAAAGCCATAGAAGAATGTAATCAGTTTCTTGGTACATGTGACATAGATTTTGTTATTAAAGTCTCTGTGACTTAAGGAATATTTAACTGAGAGGAAAAGAGAATATGGTTTCGAGATGAGTCAACTTTGATTTTTGCTCAGGGCAGCTCCCCTGTTTCCCTGTATCCTGATCAAAATGTTCCTGGTTGCTACTTTTCCGACATTCTAGTTAAAGGGAGTTGAGGAATCAGACTAGAAAAGGAGTATTGAAGTTTGTAATGCTAGTCTTTTGTCGGGAGTCTACTTTATCAAATTATGTTGTTTGAGTTTCATGATTATTTTCCCTCTGATATCATGTTCATGAAAATTTCAATGCTGGGTTTTACAGCTTCATCCTTTTCTTTCTTTTTCAGTAGGTGCCCTAGACAGTTCTGAGTTTGATATACCCTTACCCTGTTGGTAGAGCTTATCACAGTGTATTGTAACTGTCTTTTAAAATCTAGTTGGAGAGATGGACAAGTGTCTCTTTGAGGGTAGGAACTGTGTTCACTGTTTTATTTCTGGTGCCTATTATAGTGCCTGACATTCATCAGGCCCTTAACATTTGTGGAATATTGGATACATGAATACCTAATATTTTTTGAGAAAGCTCATAAAATCATGTCAACTTACAGCTAACATTACTGTACTGCAGTTTGTTTTCTCTCTCTCACCCCCACTTCCATTCCTTTCAGATCATAGCATATGGGATTTATTTTTTCCTTTCTTGGACCACTGAATCTGTATTGCTAATTTTGGTATATTTAGTTTATGAAATGCATCTTGTGCATGTCTGTGGCATTGAATGTTTTATAAAATTTGAAATGTCCCATTCTTCAAAATGAATGCCAAAGATATCAGTATACATACAGTAAAACTTTGGATTGTAAGTAACGTAGTTTGTGAATGTTCCACAAGACGAGCAAACATTTCTAATACATTTTAACGTGGTAAACAAGCAGTGTCTTGCAATACGAGTAGTTTATTTCCGGAACGAATTATGCTCACAAACCAAGGCATTACTGTATAGCTAAAAGGGTCAGATGAAGTCATGTTGTCATCTCCTTTCCCTCTGTCACTCTCAAGTGCTGAGGTTTACCTTCTGTTCTTCACTGGTGACTGTCGTGGGTCACCTCGCCAGAGTAGAAAGCAGCAGTGGCTAACTGGTTTGCTAAACACTGAAACAACTGTCAGAAGGGAAGGTGAATTTAAGGACTTATTTTTTTAACCTCTGCTCCTCTTAGACCTGGGAGGTCAGCAAAGGTTGGTAGCTCTATGGAGGAGCATGGAAGCAAGGCAGATGGTGACTTCTCTGTCTGGCAAGGGTGACATGCGGCGGTCATGAACATTTTGTTATACAACTTCAACTTCTTGTTAGTATTATATATTTTATCTTTATTTATTTATTTTATTTATATATTTTTTTAGCTGAGCCGTCCTGCTACCTGTTGGCAGCTCAGCGGCTGCTCAGCTTGGGCCAGGAATAGAACCGCTGTTGCTCAGAGCTCAAACTCTTGAGCAAGCTCTTAATCAACTGAGCCACTCGGCCGGCCCTTATCTTTATTTTTTTATCTGTAAAGGTTTTTATATTAGGTAGTCAATTTATAAAATTCTTTCATGACTTTTTGTATGGCCTGGCTTGTGGGCCATCATGAGTAAATGTAAAATTGAATAACAAAAATCAGGAAATGAAAGTTAATTAGGACTCAAGAAAAATGCATAACCTAAAGTGAAAATGAAATCTTTGAGAGCCGACATGGTAATCTAAGTGTATGCTAAAACTCATTTATAATCTATTATAAAACCATTTTATGCTGTTAAATCACTATTTTCAAAACACTGAAACTTTATATTACATCTTTGTATTTAAAATATTCCTTTTCTGGCTGGTAATCACTGGTCAGGGACTTCTTAGGATGCAAAGAAACATGTAGAGCCCAAAATGGAGGTTTTAGGAGAGCATATATCACACATTCTCCCACATGATGCAGAAGCCCCACAGTGACAGGTCTGTGTAAATCAACTACAGGAGCTTGTCCCCAGCCTGTGCCGGAGGGGCCACCTGATGACAGGAAGTGCGAAACTGGGAGAGCCGGATGCTTCCATCTGTGCCCCTATACTGGGCCATGTCACCTGTAGTCTTGTGCCTGCTTCATTCTCCCTCCTCTGCTTTCACCCATCATCTCAGAAATGCTCTATAATTGAGAATATCTCTACTTCTTGATGTCATTTTCTTCATCCTTAATAATTTATTATGATATTAACCTAAAAGGGAAAATTTTGAGAATTATCAGTATTATCGACAGGTGTTTTCCTGGGTAATTCAGTCTTACAAATAATATGGAGACTGCATTCTTTCTGTTCAATTTGCAGTATTGTATCTGGCTCCTAGCCACCCCATTCGCTCCCACTTAGCAGGGTCTAGGCCATTTCACTCACTTTGCTTTGCTTTGTTTATGATTTCTATCCAATAAAATAGATTTACAGTTTGTAAATCAAATGCCGTGGTATTCCTTTTCTGGCTGGTTCATGAATTCAGCTTATTTGGAAACAAGTGTTTGTTTTTTTGTGTGTGTTTTTTTAGCTCTCAGGTCACTTTGGTGTAATACAAATAGACCATCCTGATTTCTAAACTTTGGAGATGTGTATTAATGGACTCTTCTGTATCCATAGGGCGTGGAATTCTTTGATGAAAAGCTGAATTCTTTATGTATGGCCTGGCTTGTGGATCATGGTAAGTAAAGTTAAAAACAGGTTATTATGGAAGGCTCATGTTTTTGCGCATATCGTGTTTTGTTTATATATTTCTTTTTTGGAAAGGAATCCTAAATGAGCAGATATTTTGCCTTACCATTGTAGGGATGAAGAAAGACTGATGAACGTCCAGTTAGCTTCCTCTGAACACAATTTTGACATTTCTGTTTTCTGCCAGTTTACTTCTGTCTTAAACTTTATTTTATTTTCTCCATTAAACAATTTCTCAGGTCTGTGTGTCTCCTCTTGTCTGCCAGGCAGCGGTGGGTGGGAAGGGCGCCCTCTGTACCAGTGAGGTCCAGTGCCAGGCCCCAGGTCCAGACTGGCAGCTTCAGTGTGGTCTGAGACCTGTAGGATGAGGTCCCTGGGGGCTCATAATATAATGTCCTGTGACCTTCAGTTTCATATTTTGATGGATATGGTAGGCATCCTGTTTCAGTTCCACAGCATCTTCCGTATGTATAAGTGTGTCTCTGTTCTTCTGGGTGCTTATGCCTAGGTATTTGGGAAGAGGGGTGATAATCGGCTTGGACATGTCGGTGGTTTTATTAAGGGCATATTTGGATCATATGGGAGGTCATATGGTTAAGAGTGTAAAGAGGAGGGATATGAAAAAGGCATCTAAATGTAGATAATTTCAATGTTTTCAAGCTAGACTGAAGACTATTTTTTCTTCCCTTTTTATGGCCTAATTTTTTCTTTTTAAATGAAATTTAAGTTTGACAAATCATAGGAAAGAAATTCCTCTCTTTTTAAGAAAAAAGTGTTTATATTGTTTCTGATACATATTTAACATTAGTGGGAATGACATATCCCAGAATGTCATTCGATACTTTTTTGGAAAGCTGGCATTCTAGATTTTTTTTGAGGAACTTTTAAAGTCCTAGTGTTCCACAAAGAATTAAAATTCCTGACACTTTCTATGTAGGATTGCTCTGTGTAAGTTAATTACTTCTTCCTCTTTCTCTTATAGTTTCTTCCAATATCCAGAGAAGTATAAGGAAGAAACTTATTCTCATGGTTGAGTGGACAGTATTGATCACGGGGAGGAATTTAGAAAGGGAATTTATTTTTTATAGGAGAAATGAAAAACTATCAAAGTTAAAGAGCAGCTAGAGTGTGTTAGACATTCAGAAGAACCTTGCAAGTCAGGCAGACCTCGAGGGGAGAGGGAAAGGAGAGAGAGAGACAAAACAAGGACCGAAAACAGGCAGAACTGGGGAATAGTTTGCATTCTTTTGACAACAAAATTGAGAAGAGCCAAGAACATAGTAGGCATCTGGCCAAGTAGAGATGAGTGCGTTTAAGGGAATGGGTGAAAGCCAAACGTGTGTGCATTGCCTCTGGTTTCTCTGGTAGTGAGATCCCTTCTTATGGTAATGGTGTTAGGATGAAAAAATCTCAAGCCAGTTAAGAAGCAGAATTAGAGGAGAACACATATACTCTAGTTACTTCCTCCTTAGGGGAGGCGGTGCAGACAGGTTGTACCAATGATGAAGACTATGAATGTGAAAGGAGAGAATCTGTACTGTGGAGGAAACAGTTGACTTGAGTTTACTCCTTAGAGAGTGCTTCTAGATAAAACTGACAGACTGATTCTCCCATAGACTTTGGTCAGGTTGCATGTTGGTAATATATAGTTACTTGGTTATGCTCTCTTGCCTGATCTCATCAATGGAAGTGCCTGAAAGGCTCTATGGACTGGGAAGAGTTGGCTATTGCTTGTCTGGAAGCTTTGTATAAATTGTCCAGGGTTGGGGCTGTGGTTTAGATAGCTATTCTTGTCCATCCTGTCACCCAGCAGGGTTGGGCCTACCTGGAGAGAGAAGAAGAAGGAGTCAGTACCCCACCCCCACTCCAGTTTTGAGTTGTGTTGGACCTGTGAAATGAAGTAGCACCAGGCCTGTCTTTGTTCAGTGCTGACTATAGAAGATAGTAGTAGTTCGGGCCTTTCTTATCTGGATTTATGATGTCTTTGATGAATGGTCTTGTAGGGAATTAGTAGATGTTAAAGCAGGTACATTTATTCACAGAAGACATTTGACATGTCTCAAACATTTTTAAGGGAAAAGAGGCAAGTTGGTCTGAAGTTTTCATTGGTAGTGTGTAGATGACCACAGTGGCCTCTAAACCACTTCCTCACTGTATTTCTCCCCTCAGCTGTTCTTGCCACTGCTGGAATAATCCTACTAAAGCACCACACTGGTCACCAGGTCACAACTTTGCTTTCGAAACCCATCGTTATGTTTTTACAACATCTAAGTTTAGCTTTCAAGATGCTCTGTCTACCCTGACTGTCCACCCTGACATTTTTAGATTTCAGTTCTTTCCTTTGTGCATTGGATACATTTTTTGCCCTTTCCAGGAATTCCTGTCCTCTTCTCTCTGTTTACACAAATCCTCTCTAATCTTCAAGGCCCAATGCAAGGCCTCCCGTTTCCTAAAGCTTTCTCAGGCTTTCCTGTTCCCTCTTCTCTAAACTCCTCTAGCCCGCACGGTCTTGACGACACAATTTCATACTTTATTATAATCAGTCTTATATAATGTGACTTCTCGGAGTGCCTTAGCATTCATTTCTCTGACAGAGAGTATAATATTTGAGGGGAAATACCTTATGTATTCTTCCTGTAACACATAGCACATGGTAGGCACTCATATTTGTTAATTAATTAATTAATCATGCCTCTAATGAGCTCCTCACCTTTTTTCCTTAGACATACTACACATTTTGAAACTATAAGACCAAACCAGTATATTATAAGTTGTAGCTGAGCATGTTTGCCATTGCAGTATGGCTAAATTTGGAGTGTGTTTGCGGAATTTGGGTTTTGGTGATGAAGTGAGTAGACTAGGTTATGCTTATAATGTAAGCAGCACGACAATATGTTTTTCACCTCTTCTACAGTATATGCCATCCGTGAAGCTGCCACCAACAACCTCATGAAACTAGTTCAGAAGTTTGGTATAGAGTGGGCCCAAAATACCATCGTTCCCAAAGTATTAATAATGGCAAATGATCCTAATTATTTGCATAGAATGACCACTTTATTCTGCATTAATGTAAGTATTACACAGCTATTATTGCTATGCTCTGGCATTAAAGTAATTATTCAGAACTATGTTTCTGAATTCTGAATATATTGTCTTCTATTTGGAATTTGTTTCTTAGACTGATTAATTTGGACAGTTAAGAGATGAGAGAAAATGTCAATGTTTTAAATCATGTTAAAACCTATGATAGTGAAGTCAGTTGTGAATTCTGGTCTAATTCTGGGGTTTTTTGAATGGTACCTTGTATCCCCATTTAGATGCTCAAAGCAGAAACATTTTCCTGTTGATCAGTTTACTTTCTTATTAAATATTATTTGTCTTTTTAGATTTTGGGATATTTAAAAAAATGAAAGCGCTTTAAATGTGCCTTCTTTTTTTAGGCACTGTCTGAAGCCTGTGGTCAGGAGATAACCACTAAGCAGATGCTGCCCATCGTATTGAAAATGGCAGGAGACCAAGTAGCGAATGTCCGTTTCAATGTGGCCAAATCTCTACAGAAAATTGGACCAATTCTGGATACTGAGTAAGATTTTAATATTCTTATTTTAAAAGTGGATTTAAATTTTTACCTTATAGTGGGGAATGATAGCTAAAATTAAATTCAGTGATTTTCATTTTACCTAAGATGTGGGTTTGTTTAAAGAAAATAAAGTAATTCAGTCATTTTTGAGGGTGTCTACTCTGACTTCTGTATTTAAGCTCCTGTATGTGTAGATCACTGTCTGAAGCTAATTTCCCTGAGCACTTTAGAAATTATTTAGTACTTGTCAAAGTTATAGGTGTTTTAAAATATTTTTTTTATTTTAAACTTTAAAAATTACCATAGAGCATATATACCATAAAGCATTTTTCTGGCCCAGAAGACTGTCTTTCACAGAAAATGCTTTTGGATTTTAGCGCTTTGCAGGAGGAAGTTAAGCCGGTACTACAGAAGTTAGGCCAAGATGAAGACATGGATGTCAAATACTTCGCACAGGAAGCTATAAGTGGTATGTCCTTCTGTTCTCTGCCTTGCAGCTTTTGCTTTGGCTGACAGGGTGTGAGTGATGTTAAGTGGGCAAGGCGATAAGAATGCGGGAGACAGGGAGGGTGGAGAGCTCCCAGAATGCTTGTGCCCCTCTCTCCTTGGCCCATCATTGAGCGTGCCATCTCTCAGGTCCATGTCTAGGGCTGGGTAGGAATGTGATTCTTATTGGTGAACGCAGTATTTTGTTTGGATTTTAATCAGTTTTTAAAGTTTAACTTTTGATTAGCCTGGCAGAGTAAAGAAACTGACCACAATGAGAAGTTCATAGTCTCATCTTTTTGCATCATTATTATCGTGCCTAATATTCACATAGATAGTTCATGAAATTTCTGTACCACTAACTTGATTTTGTTTGGAATTTTCCAGTGCTTGCGTTGGCATGATGAGGAACAGGAGGGAAAAGACTTTACTAAATTCTTATCACAGATTTCTAGTCAATGTGTTCTTAAACTGGGTGGAGAAAACGTGGAAAACCTTCAAGACCGCATCCAAGCAAATGGCAACAACTTAAAGAAATCAAATTTCCGAGACTTGATTCTTTCTAAAGATGAAATAGGATTGTTTTTACTCGTCTTCCTTGTTGGGATAATTATGTTTAAACCATTCTTATTGTTTGTGACCAATTCCTGACATTCAGTACAATCATTTCTTGATTGTCTCCTAATGAATTATCTGGCACCTTCTGGGCTCCTGCATCCTTGCTGTTTCATGAGGCCCTGGCCGCTTAATGTTTCTGACCACGCCTGGATGGGTTGGGACCCAGACATGGAGTGGGGTGATTCTCTTGGTGTTTTTATGTATCTGTGTATCTCTCCATCATTCCAAAGTTAAATGTATGTGGTTTAGAATAACTTATTTTATAACCACTCTATTTGGGAGACACATCTTCCTGGATGGTCGGCATCAATGTCGTACATGAAAAGGAAATGTGGAAACTCAGAGTTCATGTGTTGGTTGTTTTGGTTTTTGTTTGCTTGATTTTGACTGTAGTCATGTCATTTGGAAACCTGAAGTACAGATGTATCTTGCTGCTAATGTATGATGTTGAAACCGAACTGAATTTCCACAGCTTACCACTGTGACTGCATTCAGAAATACTTCTCTCCCCTGAGAAACTAAAAATTCAGTGCTTCCTAATCAGTAGTCCTACTGTGTCATTGCAAGACAGCAGTTTTGCATTTCTAATGAGTAAAGGAACGACTGGTCTAACACTGTGAGGCTTTCCTGCTTTTAACCTCATTCTGCTCCCAGCTGTGTTAACATCTGGTCCTTGCTACATTGTAGAGAAGTAGCTTTCCAACTGAAGTTACTCATTTTTTGGTATGGGTGATGCTAGAATCTTATCATATGAAATCTTTGTTTTTGTGCTATTGCAGTGAAACCTCATTAATTGCTCCTGGAACTTAAGATAATGAGTTAAGCTGAAGGGAGCGTTTGCTGAAGCAAATTAATAGTATGTAAGGAAGCCTGTTGGGTCTGAACTACTTAAATAATTTTACAGCTCCCTTTAAAAAACACCCTTTACCAGTTTGATATGCCATTCACTAACCAATCTTTTCAATTATATTAAAATACCATTTATGAGAATTTTTATAAGGCCACACCTTTTTTTAAAAGATGCATTCAGTTTACTCTTTATCCCTGAAATATATACATTTGTATTTCATGGGGAATTTAAATATTTTTTCATCTAAATTTATTTACATTTTCACCTACTCAAACTTGCCTTGTTCCTAATGAATGTTAATTAATGAGGTTTCATTATAGCTTATTTTTCTCTCAGTGCATCCTGCTCTGTGCACTTGTTTCTGTGCTTGTTTGCTTGTTTCTGTTTTGGTTTTGGAATTGTTTCTTCCATTCGCAGCCTCTTTTAAACCCAGGGAACCCTGTTCTGTTTTGTGAAGTCTCAAAGATGCCTGTAAAACTTCGTACATGAAACCAGTACATAAAGCCAAGTTTGAGCAAATTACTTTCAAGCTTGTCCTACATTAGGAAAACAACATTTTAAATCAGAAATTACCTGGCTGCATTTAAAACTGCTGAATTACCTTATAGGAAGTTTCTGTTATTTTTTGGGTGAAAGATTAAATGTTTTCCTAAGCAAAAATCATTTCTACATTCTCATTGTATATTGTAAACTATTATGTTGTAAACATTTTAATTTGTTTCATGGTTCTTTTTATTTTTTTTATTACCTGTAGGTTGTGTTCCTCTTCATTGAATTTTGTATTTGAGAGACTATTGTCAATTCTTGAAACAAATATACACAACCGTTGCTTTACTCTTTGGTAGGAAATGCTGTTAATTTTGGGATATGCCCTTATGTACCCTACCTCCCTGTGAGCCCTGTGTATTGATTGACCTTTGGCCCTAGGTCTGTGGTACAGGGGAGCTGCTGGCTTTCTCAGCCATGGGTCATGGAGCTCAGCAGGGGGTGCCTTCTTAAGTGACTCCTTAGGGACTTCATTGCTTCTTTCTGAATTAAACAGGGAATCCCTTTTGTTACTGCTCAGAGGAGGTTTTTGGCTCATAACTTGGTGATTTTCTCCATGGTTTAGTTTACTTACCTGAATGTAAGCTCCAGGAGCTATGTAAGGGCAGGAAGTTTTGCCTTCTACTGTATTGCCAGCGCCTAGATCAGTGTCTGGTATACATAATAGGTGCTCAATAAATATGCCTTTAATGAATTTCTAAAACCTGTCCTCTGATATGTTGCATTCATGGAACAAGTGATCGAAGGTACCAGACTACATTACATTCTCCCACTGACACAATGAAAGGATTTTACTGCTCTTAAGAAATAAGCTTTATGTGACCTTTCTTTAGTCCATCATCTTAGGCACCAATTCCACTTAGATTTGTACAGTTGCCTCAAGTGTATATTGGTATAACTTTTTCATCCTAGGCAGTTTAAATCAGTTGTTTGGTTGCTTAGGAAAGTGAAGCAGAGGCAAATATACAAACCTATGTGTCAATAAAAATGTTTCATCGACAATGAAATTCACCTTAGTGTTTCTTTCTACAATTTGTAGGGGGTTCACCATTCACAGGTTTAAGAGACCAGATCTTGTTTTTCTGTGCTGCCAAGAAGATATGAACTTGAAAATGCATCCTGTTTCATAAGAATAAACAGGTTAATGTGTGGTTTCTTTTTCTTTTTCTTTTTTTTTTTTGGTGTGTTCTAATGCTTTTTTTTCCTGTTATTTTCTTCAATATTATTTTAATTTTTGGCATACAGCATAGAGGTTAGACATTTACATAATTTAAGAAATGATCCCTCTTACTAGTCTAGTACATACCTGGAACTATGCATAATTATTACCATATTATTGACTCTAGTCCCTATGACTATTTTGTAACTTCCAATTTGTACTTATTAATACTTCACCTTTTTCACCTTGCCCCTCAAACCCCACCATCTATCACCCCAACAAATCTAGAATCCCTCTGATGCCATACATAGTTATTAACGATATTATTGACTATATTTTTCTGCTATATGCTACATTCCCGTAACTACTTTGGAACAACCAATTTGTACTTCTGAATCCCTTCCCCTTTTTCAGCCACATCCCCAAATCCCCCTCCCATCTGACAGCCATCCAAATGTTCTCTGTATCTATGACTTTGTTTCTGTTTTGTTTATTTTGTTCTTTAGATTCCATATGTAAGGGAAATCACTTTGCATCTGCCTTTGTCTGACACTCCACTCAGCACAACACCCTCCAGGTCCATCCATGCCGCTGCAGATGGCAAGAACCCATTCCCTTCCATGACTGAGCAATATTCCACTGTGTACATGTACCACCTCCTCTTTATCCAGTCATCCATTGACGGACACCCAGGCTGCCTCCACATCTTGGCCATTGTAAACAATGCTGCAATGAACATATGGATGCACACGTCATCTCGAAGTAGCATTTTGAGTTTCTTCAGATAAATACCCTGAAGTAGGATGTGGGATTACTGGGTCCTTCTTTGTCTCTTGTCATAGCCTTTGTTTTAAAGTCTGTTTTGTCTGGTATAAGTATTGCTACTCAGCTTTTTTTTTTTCTTGTTTCTATTTTCATGAAGTATCTTTTCCCATCCCTTTACTTTCTGTCTGTGAGTTTCAATCTGAAGTGAGTCTCTTGTAGGCAGCATATGTAAGGGTTTTGTTTTCTTATCCACTCATCCCTTGTGTGTCTTGATTGGAGCATTTAATCCATTTAGATTGAAAGTAATTGTTGATAGATATGTAGCTTTTGCCATTTTATTCATAATTTTGATTTTTTTTTTTCCCATCTTAAAGCCCCTCTTACATTCCTTGTAATACCAGGGTGGTGGTTATAAATTCCTTTACCTTTTTCTTGTCTGGGAAGCTCTTTATCTGTCTTTCTATTTTGTTTTATTTTGGTTTTTAAAAAGATTTTTATTGGGGAATTGGGGGAAGGAGAACAGACAAGTTGCTGTCGTTTTTGTTCTTCAGTCTAGTTGTGGAGGACGTTGCTTCACTGGCTCAAGTTGGCACCATCATTGCGCTCTTCCCGGGGCGAGGCAGATCAGTTGCCGGCTTCTGGACGGCCGCTCACTGCGGCTGCTGGCCGCTCACGCTAGCTGCTGGCTACACACGGTAGCCCATGGCAACCCACTGCCACAGGGGCTGCAGCCTACGCCTTCGCTGGTGACTCACAGCAGCCCAGCTCCAGGTTGAGCTGTTGTTCAGCATCTTAGCTGTAGAGGGCAGTGTCACTGACCCTCATATGGGATCCGAACCGGGGCCCTCTGGTGTCCCAAGCCAGCTCTTAACCAATGTGCCACTTGGCCGGCCCCTGTCTTTCTATTTTAAATGGTAGCCTTGCTGTGTAGAGTAGTGTTGGTTGTAGTCCTTTGCTTTTCATCACATTGAACATTTTGTGTGTATCCTGGTCTGCAGTTTCTGTTGAGAAATCAGCTGATAACCTTGTGTGTGCTGCTTGTGGGGCCAATTGGGTGGTGTTCTGCTGTGGTCTGAAGCCAACCTCCAAGTATGTTGTTTCTGGGGCTTCTCGGGAGTGGCTGCGGTGCAGGCCCAGGTCAGCCACTGCCTGTGATTAGCCAGGGGCTACCTGGTAGGAGCTACAACACAATCATCATTTGTTCACTGTCTGCTAAATCTGGAGGTGCGTGGGAGAAGCCATAATGCGAACCGAGGATGGCTGCCACCAGTATTGGGCCTAGGGTAATTCCACTAAAAACCAGGACACCCCAAGACCAGCTGCCATCTGCTGGTTCCCTTAAGATTCAGTCACTGATAAAACCTTGTGTATGCAAGTTGGGTGAGGCAGTCTCTCAGGGAATCACTAGAGTGGGACGAGCTGTGGTCACTAGGTTAATGTAAATTCTGGTTTGGTGCCAGTGCTGAGCCTCTTGCTACTCAGCAAAAGTCTCAGCACACTGAGGCCAGTTGCCGTCTGCCTGGGGCCTGTCAGACTCTTGATAGTTTTCCAAGAAGAGTGCAATGCAGGCAAGGCTGGCTGCTTGTGAGAAAGTGCTTCCAGTGTTGGATGGGTTGGGGCCCAGTGAGTCAGCAGAGTGGAGCAGTGGAGCTCACCAGGCCAATCAGATTCAGATTTGGCCGTAAGCACAAGGGCTCGCCACGTTAAAGATGGCACCCACCTGTGGGCTACACGAGGGGAGGACCCCACCAGGGAAAATGGGACCATCCTGCAGCCCTTGCCCTGAAGCCACACACCTCAGTCTCCCCCCC